CACAAGTTTAGCGACGTCCTAGTGACGAATAACTTTTGTTGCCATATGTTAATAGACTTAGTTGTCATTATATATATAACTTGTTTTCCAATTTCATAATTCTATGACGAAAAATGGTGTTTCATCTCAATTTTAGCAACGTCATAGTGACAAAATATTATCGTCGCCACATCTTAGCGACGAACTAGTTTGTCATTATATTTATATATCTTGTTGCTAATTTAATCATTCATTTCGTTATTTTGGGTAAATTTGAGACAAAATATCCGTCGTATCATATTTTGAAACAACGTATTAGGCCTTTGATAATTCGTCGTTAAGCGGTCGCCAACATTGTTTTTATAGCAATGACCAAATAGTTGCTAAATTTGTTGCTAAAAATTGTTCTGATGCACTGATGAAATAAATTTAATTAAAATTACTAAATATTCCAAAACTAACGAATATTCATATTATATAATACTCATAGATTATTCATAATATATAAATAGAAAACTCCAAAAGAACATATTTCTAAATTAAAATATCCAAAGAAAACTATCAAGTACTCTTAAATGAACCTATGTTCATCAAAATATTACTATGTGTAATTCCTAGTTTCCAAAAGTATGAAATTATGTAAAACTGAAGTTGTTGAGGTATAAACTTGAAATAGAGGTATCAACCTCATCCACATTACTAGCAGGAGCTATGGGCGCCGCAAATGATGGATTGCGGAATGGAGTAATCGATGCTTGCACCTGCTCAACAATAATACGAACAAGACGACTTGTAAGTGCGGAAATCATTTTCTTAACAAACTCCTCCATATTTGTTGTCGATGTTAATTCAGAAAATGGATGTGGTAATGATGATGAGCCACAAAGATTCTGCCCATAGAAGCATGAGTTTGTGTTTTTAGCAACATATTATAATACCAACACCAGCAAAAGTAGTTTCCCAGAGTATTATTAGCATTATGAAACAATGGGGTTTGGACTCTTTTTTGCACCTATATGGTCAATATTTATATGCTAATCGGGACATGTACCAAAGAGACAATGACAACTAACTGTTCACGAAAATCCCCCTCCCCAACACCCCACCCCAACACTCGCTAAGTTTAGTGATTTTATTTTGGAAGCTAGCTTGAATCAGGTGCCTTCAATATGATACACCAAGCTTGTATGATGTGTCATAATTGAGAGTACTTGATCAAGGTTATATTACACTGAAACAACAACAAATTCTCACTAAAGAAAGAGTAGAATCAGAGTAAAACAACTATTGGTTGGTCTATGTAAATATATTCCTGACACATGGGAATTCACAACAAATATGTCTATTTTTTCCAATCGCCATGTTCCACTAGAGTCACAGTAAACAACACTAGAATCAACCTAAAACAACACTAAATTGCACCAGAAAAGCCTCAAAATAGTGGCGGTACTTTCTCTCTAAAACGACACTAGAATCGCATCGAAAAGTCTCAAAACATCTTTAGAACTATACAAAAAAGAAGGAACAGATACACTGTAAAACAAGACAAAATTGCACCATAAACTCTAGTAGGAAAGAACCTAAACACCTCAAAGTTTTAGACTTACATTGATACATCCAGAACGTTCACTAACAATTGATTTTCCATCATGTACATGTGTACGAACGAGCATGAGTAACTCACTTGGCATGGGATCTCAGTGTTTTCAATAGCCTATGCAAAAGAAATTATGTTATATATATCATATAAGAATAGATTTTTGTTATAGAGTTTGTATAATATATATACTCACAAGTTTCTTGCAATGTTCTACGATAGAAATAGAGCAACCAGTGTGAGTCCCAACAGCAGTTTCACGGCCGCCACGACGATTTTGCGAATTAATTTCTGATTTCCTAATAGATTCTTCACTTCCCCACTACTCAATCCATATTTTCCACACATCTTCTTGTAAATAATTTGTCCTAACTTCTCCTTTTTTATTTTGGAAATAAAATTCCTATAGTTCAATGCTACTCTAACCATCAAGTGTGTTTTTACTTTGTTTTCACTAATGGATCCTAGCATTTTTTTTATGAAATAAGTTTTGAAAGTAGTACATTAATTTCCTATAGATATTTGTGAATACACTTGCTTAATGCACTTACGATGAAAACTTATACCTTAAATTCTCTAAAATAACCATTTCTTACATTTGAAACACCTTTCCTATTGATTCCATTGAAATCAACCTCAATTTTGAAAGATTCCGATATGAAACTAGAGCATATTTGAGAAGGTTCCAGTCTATATAAAGATTCCGATATGAAACTAGAGCATATTTGAGAAGGTTCCGGTCTATATAAATTAGAAGAAATTACAATATTTCAATGGTACCACATTCAACATACACAAGGTCATGTTCTCTATACGAAATATTATGCTTAAAGGACAGTTGGTAATGTGATAGTGAACTATTATCCAAATATCTTAAATTTCTTCAACACAGTAAGTAGAAAAAGTTTATGAATAGAATAATAAGAATGAACTTACCCTGCAAAAGTTAGAAAGACAAGGGTCTTTGTATTACTAGTGTTGGATTCATCTTCAGCAGCTGTATTGGTATGACCTGTTGGATATTTCTCTGAGTAGAAAGACCCTGACCTACTAGGTTACTCTGATTTGGTGTAGCTTGAGGTGTCTCACAGATGGTTGGGCTGATAGTTTTAATTTGACATTTCAATATTTGTTAGGGTACCGCCTTGTTTAGCAGAAACCGTAGTGGGCTTGGGAACAGTTGGCTTGCTTACACAAATCGCGGTATTACTCCTACTTGAGAATTTTCCATGACCTCTACCTCGAGCCATACCTGTAAACAAATATAACATTGTTGTTAGATCATGACTAATACAAAATATAATTAAAGATAATCAACAAATATGAGAATGCGTGGAACAGTGCTGAAATATTTAAATTGGCTCTATAAAAGCGTGTTGATCAACTGATAGAATTAGGACCTAGACACACAAGAGTAATATAGTTATCTATTACAAAAATAACATGAGTAAAGGGATCGTGAACTTTTATCAGACGCTTTACCTAAAGAATGAGCATTAGAAATATATAACATATTATTTGAATTTGAACACATTCACAGGTGCTAACATTAGGGAAAGGAAGAAGCTTTCTAATAGGCTAAAATTTTCAATACCATCATATCTGCTAAGGTTCCAGGACCTGATGGTTATCCAATCACAGTCAAGTAATGTTATTCCAATTCAAAGGAATGATCTAATTAGGAATTGAAATAAGAAATAGAACAAGCATAGTTCAAAGTAAAGAATTATTTCTTTTTAAAATGCATAATAGAGAAGTAGAAATTACAGCAGATTATCCTTGATTGAAAATCAGAAACAAACAAAATATAATGAAAATACAATAGCATATTATCAAGCACTAGTCAGTGTCTTCTTCAAATTCTTCCTCTTCCTCATCCGCATTCTCCTCAGAAGGTAACAACCACAAACTGTGAACCACAAGGTACTCACATTCATATTCATTAAATTCGAACAAAACCTTCATATTGGTAAAACAAGAACAATTTCTAAAGTTCTTCACTAGGTAGACTTAAAAAAACTTATGAACTATTAAAACAATTATTAATCATAATAAACATAAAAAAGAGTTACTGGAACATTCTAATTTTAGTAAAAACATAGAACAATTAAAACATTATGATTCAAATCAACTTACTGAAGCATTCTAGTTAAAATTAACTTATTGAAACTAATTTATTATTATATAAATATCACCATATTGACGACAAACAAAATGGATTGAAGCATTGCAATTTATTAACTACAAATAATACTTTCTGGAGTGTGAGAAATTAGAACAAGAAAATAATTTGAAGCCAATACTTAATTTCATCAGCAACAAACAGAAGCACATTACATGAAAAACTTTCTACTGAATAAGTAATTCGCTTATAAATTTAATCTAAGAAGTTCTTGTTGACTATGTAGTTGCTCTAATTTGATTTGGCTAATAATTTTATATACCAAACAAGTAGTTGGAAAAAATCATTATTTCAAAAAACAATTTTTATGAAAACCACATGACTTTCCTCTATAAGTACAACAATTCCTCTAGAAAATAAAATCAAAGAAAAGTTCAAGTATAAAATGCGTTATTCTATCAAATAAAAGCAATAAATTTGTTAAATTTAGAATGTATTCCTCCAGCAAGAACTAACCACAGAAACACCCACGACAACTGAATCAAAATTGTCCAAACTTTTCACTAATCTTTAAAAAAAAAGCTCTAACTCGAATTGTATCAAGATAATGATAAAAAATTTCATCATAGTTAGACTAAGTAAACAAAATACCTCAGAACTTCAATCTTGAGCTAAATCAGAGATAGGAAGGTAGAGTGAGGGTTTCTTCAAGTGAATATCAACGAGGCCTTGATGATGACCTAAGAGATGATTCTATTATTTTATAATGTTATACATGATTAGTAATATTGTGACTTATGATTTTATACTAAATGTGCATGATGATCTCAAACCTATTAAATGTATGGTTATTTTATTTGGAAAGAAAATTCTACATGTTTTTTAATTTGTTAGAGTCAACACTTAATTTTTAAAGAAAAATTAGGAAAACTTGGTTTTCAATAGATTTAAACAGGAAACCTAGTGAATCTTTAAAGGGGGTTCAGAGATTCATATTTATATTTACCTAAAATATTCGCTAACGTGCAATTATCCGATGACTAACTTGTTTGGCTAAAACAACTAACTTAAAATTAGTTTGAATTGAATCTATTTGTTTGGAGAATGAAGTTTTAAATTTATTATCCAAGTTTGATTTGTCTTGCAAATTTCTTTATCCTTTTAAAATCTTTTTAGACTTGATCCTAATTTTAAGTCGATAACATTTCGGAGTTTTGAAGAGATTTGGACTTCTTAACCCTAAAACTAGAGATAAATAATGCCAAGCAGATAAACGATAAAGTAAAGAGAGGGAGAGAGAAATGTTGGGTCAAAATCCGATTTGGGTTCGCTTGAACCGGTATTTGGACTTGTTTTTTCTTTTTTGTGTTTTTGACCCAATTTTTACCTCTACTAAACTAACAAAATATAATAATGATAAAAAAAAACAACAAGGACTTAGTCCCCAGAATGATATAATACAATATTAAAAAATATAAATTTGGACTCTCTAGTCTAATATCTCAAATTTTCTCGGCTTGTACATCAAATCCTGAGTTGACTCGAAAGGAAGAAATTTGGGCCTCCGTGCCCCAACTCGAAATATGAGGAAGAAAATTACTTCTTGGCGAAATCGGGCCAAATTTACATGCGAGAAAAGAGAACTGGAGTTAGTGTCTAATAATAGCGTTTAAAATCATGACTTAATGATAAAAAAAATATAAAAAATAAACAAATAAAATTTTTACATCAACGGGAATTAGAGCTTAACTCCTTAGCTTGATGGATTTAATGGTTAGAGCCAATAAATGGTAAATTTCAAATATAGAAGAACACCATTTTTATTTAGGACAAATTTAACCAAGCAACCTACATTTTATGAATAAGGCAATGAACAAAACCCACAACTTCCAAAGCATTAAACACACCGTCGGGACACTTATATCTTTTTTTAATAGACCAATTTGATAGGGAAAACAAATGCTATATGCGAACTTAGTCAGACCCACAACTGAGTACACATTATGATAAAGAGGAAGTAACAGGCTTGTTGAACATAAAAGATCAAAATATGGTTTGAGAATACATCATTCAAAACTATGAACTAAACATTAAAACCTTTTGAAATGTTGAGACCCAAAACCAAGCACTAATAGTGAGACCCATAATTATTCTAATGAAACACTAAAGATTATGGACCAGTGAACTATCTAGCTAGACTTATTATTAGGAAACCAAAGACAACAAAAATAAACAGGCTATCAAAACCAAACAACATGCAAATAGAACTAAAAATTAATCATTAGCCTACTCAAGATAAACTACACTCAATGTAAGATATTCATGATAAGCACAATTTTCATATCATCTGGAAACCCACCAAATCATATAAGCGATCAAAGAAATACAACAAATAACAAAATTCGAGATATAATAAGATCCCAAGGGCAATTATAGACAGTCAAAGAAATCAGTAATCTTGATACTTGAGTACCATATAAATAAAACAATACAAGACCAGCAAACTCGCTCAAGGAATTCGGGAAGAGAACGTGGTTGGAATTTCGGATGGAATGTCTAAGAAACACCAACATAAGATATAAATATACAAGGCTTTCACTTAACTAAATCATGGAATCAAATAGGAACACCTATATCCTATTGAAGCATCATAAATTCTAAAATGGTTAATAGCATGATAATCATGGAAAAACATTTTTTAACATTGAGATATTATTTCGAAAAGGGAAAAGAGTCTGGATGAATATTGTGAGGAAATAAACAATACCTTTCTCCGGGCAGCAAACGAAGACAGCAGCAAGATCAAGGAGGCAGCAACTCCCTCAGAAACGAAATGCGACTCCGAAAATGTTGACGAACAGTGAAAACGAAGAAATGATTCGAAAAAATTTAAACTCCCAACACCTCTGCCTCTCTTAGCGTATTTAGTATATAACTTAATTGTTGTTCCTTAAGCTTTATGGATATTTCCTTTCCCCGAGAGTCCAAACTCAATAAGAGTCCAAAGTTTCAACCGTAGGCTAAAAAGGACAAGAACTTGATCTCCCTTTTTTTTCACTCGTCCCCAAAAAAAACTTACCTAGTTGTGTGAAGAAAAAGAGACTATATAGGCCAAGGATTAGTGTTATGCCAACGGAGGGAAACCGATCGAATTTTTCCCAAAAACAAACCCAATTAAAAATTCAAAACGCCTCACACATTTACCAATTTGGATGAACATCCTTTCTCTTAGATTTAAACTTTAATCCAAATGAGGAAAAGACAGAGAGATGGTTGGATCTACTCAAATGCACTAGCGAAATCATTTATTGCTAGATCTACTCAAAACTAGTTACTTATTAATCAAAAGGATGGTAAGAATGAGAGGAAAAAAGATATGGGATGAACATGTCGCTTAAGATTATGAGAAAGAACAATCAGTAATACTAGCTAATCAGCTACAATGGACTTTAAATGTGAGATCAGGAAACGGAAAGAATAAGAAGAATAAAGATGAGAAACCTGATTGTTTTACGATGTATAGAAAAACCAAACCTATTAGAAAGATACAGCTTGTGCGAGCCCGGATAATCAACATCTTCTGACAATCATAATTGTCCCCATCAAAAGGGTTATTATTGTTGTTATTATTTTTGTAGCTTTAGGGTGTGTTGTTATGCAGGATAACATTTTGTGGAAAGTGTTTATCAATTTTTTTTATGTTTGATTGTCTTAAATGTGTTCAAATTATTTTCCAAATTAACTCATTTTTCTCAAAGTTAAGGAAAATGACTTCCTGTTGAAAGTCAAGAAAAACATTTTTCAAACCTCTACTTTATCCTTCAATTTTATTCCTTCTCTACCCATACCTCGTACCCGACCCTCTTCATTCAAACAAAAAACTAATATTTTAAAGTTTATTATTTTTTTAAATTGCAAATATAGTTTTTTTCCTACCATCAAGCCCCCCCCCCCCCAACCCAAATCCCCCTCAAACAAAAAAAATAAAATTGTTTCAAATATTCAGATTTTTTTTAATCCAACCCAACCCCAATCACCCCTACATCCTACCCCCTACCCCACCCCAAAATAAATTAATTTTGAAAAATATTTTAAAATTTAGTTTTTTTTTAAAAAAAATAATATAAGGTCAATCGCCCCCCCCCCTCCCAAAAAGAACACCCCTCCCCCCCACCCTGTTAATACATCTTTTTTAAAAGACATATTTTTGGAAAAGATATCAAATTTGTAAAAGAATCATTTTCTATATCACAGCCACTCGGCAACCCCCCATCCCACGGCAATCCCCACTCAAGCCATTCCCGTGAAAAATTAGGAAAAATTATCTTTGGAAAGATTTCAAAATTAAACTTTTGTTCATTTTTTACGTTAACCCCACACCCTACCCTTACCTCCCCCCTAGGCCATACCCAGGTTCGAGTTCAAGATCTAGTACTGGAGTTCATTTTTCTATCTGAATTTTTTCCCTAAAGAATATGTTTTTAGTCTCGAGCAAAAATAAAACATATTTTTCAGAAAAATCTTTTCATTAACCAACCAAATATTATAATGTAATTTTTACACCCCAATCAAACATAAAAAAATAGGTTTAAAATCCATCTGTTTTCCAAGAAAGCATTTTCAACGGAAAACTTTTTATTCATACAAAACACATACTAGTCTTCATTTCTTGTTGTCTTGTTGTTTGGGTGGGGTATTTAACTAAGGCTAGACACATTATGTTCTCCTATAAGTATATATATGCTAGAGATTACTAGTTATCTGCCCAACCCATTTTCATATATACATACATATATATATATATATATATACATATATACATATACACATATATATACACACACATATATATATACATATATATATACATATATGTATATACATACATACATACATATATATATATATATATATATATATATTCATAAGGTTGCCTTATTCGAGAATCTTCGGATATATGCTTATTTTCGACTCCCTGAAGCATTTTGTCTATTACTATACCCTTCCTCATCTTTGGATGCCTAGTATACATCGTAAGTACCTTTACCTTCACTTTTAGGGCTATAATGCTTCTAAATGGATGGATTGTCCTCGTCCATGAATGAAAAATCATAGATCGAACCGACCGATAAGGGCGCACCTCCAATGTACCAGTTACTCGTGCCCACAATAAATGCTAGGTAGTCAAGAGCGGAGCGGATAACTGTCGAAAGAATCATAGTAGTAAAAGCATCCTATTTTGACCTCCCTAAGCTTCCGATAGCTCAATTGAGACAAAGACGGGTCTTTGCCCATGTAGGGAAGGAGCTTGCGACATAAATTTTTTTTTGGAGAATTTAAGAGAAGGTCATATCAAGACGATCCTTTTATCTTACAATAGCTTTCAAGTTGAACTGTAGCGATGCATGACACTAAGGTATCCAAATAGGCTGGTAGACTTGAACCTTGTTCTTGCATGACCTCATCAATTCGATCAGGAACTCACCATCTATTTTCATTGTTCAAATCTTTGATTCCACCTAGTGGTGAGTTAAAATAATAGAGATAGAAACCCCAATCAAATAGATCTTTTGAAGAACAGGTTAATAGGACAAGAATATAGATAGAGTATCATTCTACATGTCAAAGCCTATTGAATTAACTTTGGAATAGAAGGGGAAGGGGAATATGTCAATGGACTTGTTGCAGGGTTACCACAAATATGACATTGAACACAAAATTGACAGATCACAATAACTAATTCTAAATTGACATTTATAACCTGAAAATATTCGATACTTTTTTATTATCTGCTAAGTTTTTTATTTATGAAATTATTAGCATCAAGGTTCATCACTATAATATTAGAGGGATGGTTTGGATCATATTTACTCATTCAATCAAATGGAAAATATAGTTGATAGTGGGTGACTTATACGCTCAAATTTACTTCTCGAAAAGAAGTATATGGGGTCGTGTCAAGTAAAGAACCCAACTATGAGGTTGGGATGGATCTCACAAGGAAAATGATTTAGACCTAACTTTAACCTACAATTACTTATATTTAATCAAGTTCTTTCAGAAAACAGGTAATAAAATGGGGGTTTTAAATAACAAAAGGAATTAAATATGTGTAAGTAAAAAAGTAAAAAGTATGAATATTTGATATTTATCAAGTGATGAGAGTAACTAAGGCATAAGTGTTGCTATAAGTTCATAACGCAGTAATTCTAGCTATAACAATCCTTTGCTAGTATCTCGCATGCAAAATAATAAGTTATGTACCCTTAATTCCTTGGTCTGACAACTAGGGAATTTCACTTTGTACCTTGTCCGTCTACGTGTGTATGCTTTACTAAACCTTAGTTGTATGTTATGTATAGATAATCAATCTATGACTTAGTTGTTACTTCACACCAATCGACACTAACCTATTAGATAGTGTATACTAAATCTACGTTGATAATTCTTTTCTTATTATCTACCTCCTTGGTCTGACAAGTAGCAACAAGGCGAGTTTTAATGCGTTCACTCGTTGAAAACACTTCTAAACTAAATAATTGTCAAAACATGCAAGACATTATTCTAGAATTGTTATTTTAGCTAGTTTTTATTTTGTTATTTACCCATGGTTTCCACAACCCTAGTTATGGATATAGTTGTACATCTTAACAATCACACAACTCATATTTATTAGACAAGAATTCAAGTACTTACTTTGATGAGATTGAAGAAAATCCTGAAATTACTTGAATAAATCAACATCTTGCAGCAAATGATTACGGAAATTAGAATATTTCCCAAAATTTCAAGTTTAACAACTACGATAATAAATCTGAAAAATACAAGGAGTCTAACTCCAAAAATGAGGTTTTTAGAAGTATTTATAATAAAGAAGTCCTAACAAGGGCATGACGGACCGTCGAGGCCTCCTCTCGTTCCACACATAGAATCTTTTTCAACTGCTTTCTTCTCCAACTAGATGTTACCACCGACAGACCAGGATGACAGTCCTTTTAGTGCACGATGGATTGTCGATGTCTTCCATTTCTCCATACTTTGAATCTTTTCAAGACGGGTACTGGAGCTACTTTTTGTTAGCAATGACGGATGTCCATGACGGTTTGTCGTGGAGATGACGGTCTGTCGATAGCTTCCGTAGCCCTACACATTGTAAGAATTCCCCGATCTTCCTTCTGAAACATTTTATTCAGGCGACAGTTTCAACCTACGGACAGTCGATGGGTCGACGGACCGTCGATGTCTTCGTAGGTCATCACTTTTGCAAATTCAGCACGATTTTTCCGTGTTTTCATTTTGGACATCTTTCCTTCAAACAAAGAGAAGAATTTATTAAAACTGCTAGAAAAAGGCCTTAGACACACACTAAACTTATGGAAAAAGCATTGAAAATACCGTGATACCACGGTACATCAACACCCTCAACATAAATTCATTGTTTGTCCTCAAGCGACGCACTATGACGCATAACAAAACCTTTGTACAAGAGTATCCTTTTTTTTGCTTTCGCAATCATCTGGCTATCAATCCCAATTATTTTCGTTATGTTTATGCATGCTATCACTATTAGGCTGGCTCATGTGGATCAGACCATGACACTGACTCACCATACACCAACACCAATCCTCTTTGATCTCTCACCAAGGTACTAATTTTCCGATATTGCAACTAGTGCCTTCACTTCAAAACAGCATCCTCATTTTTCACACAATGGTTTCAGTTTGAGTATAACGATTATTTTTTTCAACACTCTCTCTCAGAACAACTTCACACCTCATTTATACTTTTTTCCATAAGTTTGCCCTTATTTTTTCTTCTTTAAGCTCACCATAATAGACTATTAGGATCACGATGGGACTTTATTATATTGTACCATAGGATCACGGTCAAGTAGGGTACATTTGAATGTATTTTAGTGACTTATTTCCCTCCTTGACATAACGGCTAAGCGTCCTACATTTTCATCGTTTTATTAATACCTATTCAACTTTTCTTGAGTTACTTTTATTATGTTCTTTATCTTTCTTTATTCTTTCAACCCGACTTTCAGGAGCATTCCTCAACTAGCCACCCTCAACTCATGATTTTTCCATGTAACGAGCTATACAATACACAAAGTTGGGTCAAGGCCACAACAAGGTTGTTTTCTACATTAGCCACCCTCTACTTATGCTTTTGGCATATGCTGAGGTGCACATGACCAAGGAGGGACCAAGGTCAACACATTGTTCCTATAAAAGATCAGTTAGGTTGAAAAATAAAGGTCTATTTAAAGCTCAAATCATTTGGATTTAGAAGGGATTAATTTCATTCGGTTTTCTATTATCTAGGCTAAAGAATTCCTATCTTGAACAAGGGTCTATGATCATTTCCTAATTTGCTATCACAATTTACTTTTAGCAGGACTAACCAGTCAAGTTCTATCTCAGTACCAATGGTGGACTATTTAGATTTTCCTCACCACTCACTTGACATCTCATTACTCTACTAGATTATTAGACACCGTGTTCGAGTTTTAGATTTAGGGTCATGCACTGGTGTATCTCTACGTCATGCTTAGAGACACACTTCATCAACTACTATGCCTAGTCATGCAGCATTTTCTTTAAATAAAGATATCATTTTGTTTAGCCACCATGCTATAGATTCCATTTCTATACTATGTAAAAAGATACAAACAATGTCGATTAAACAATAAAATAA